CCGCAGGGCGCGGAAGGCACCCGAGGGCGAGCGAATGATTAACCCTGCGGCCCCGCGGCCGTGACCGGCGCCGGGGCTGCTCCTCGCGCTCGCTGCGCGTCGCCCAAACCTGCCCCTCGCATCCCGACAGCGGGGTAATCATTAACGGGAGCTTTTCTTGCAACTGAAACTTTGGAATTTATTAAAAGGATCTGTACCCGCGGCGAGTCCAAAAACCTCCCCGTGCCCTTGGGTTATGTGGGTCCTTTGCCAGTGAGCACTGGGTGCTCCTTGTGCCAATCTGTGAAGCTCGGGGATGGATGTAGGACCAGCGAGCAGGGCCAGGCTGGGGATGTCCCGTGCCGGTGCCACAGATGCTGCATGGAGCATCCGAGGAGACACGGGCACCCCACGCTGGTGTCTCCACCACCAGCAGCTTCGTTAGAGCTGCCTCGTGCTCTTGGTCAACCCGTATATAGAACGCGTGGAGGGAAGCAGGGGGCAACTCTTCCCTCTGTCCTCCCAAGAGGTCTCTCGTGAGCAGCGGTGATTCCACCCCTTTCTTCTTCCCCAGCCTCCATGCGGACATGCCCAGCCTGGAAGTGCTTGAGCAGGAGCTGGCCTGGATGAAGGAAACCCTCTCGCAGCTGGGGTCTCCTGTGGTGCTTTGCCACAACGACCTGCTCTGCAAGAACATCATCTACAACGGCACCGAAGGTGGGTGCCGGGGGCTTTGGGGCCCCTTGGGAAGGCTCTGTCCCTGCAGCCGTGTCCTGGCGCGTGGGTCTCGGTCCCCAGCTCTGTGACAGGTCCCGCTTTGTCCCCGCAGAGCACGTGCGCTTCATAGACTACGAGTACACCGGCTACAACTACCAGGCTTTCGACATCGGGAACCACTTCAACGAGTTTGCGGGTGAGCTGGGCTCTTCTCCGCGACGCCGAAGGCCACCCCCCAGCTTGCAAGTGCTCTCCACGTCCTCCAGGAAGGGAGGATGTGCTTAAATCCCCCGTGCTCCCATAGGAAACGGAGGCGGCTCCTCCCAGGGCCGCGCTGGGATGCAGCGATGAGCCAGGGAGGGTCTTTCCTTCCATTGGGCCCCGTGATGCCTGGACCCGCGGTGGTTGCACCCATGGGTGTCGCGTGCGCGGAGCCCCTTGGCCGCGTGCTCTGCCCTGCAGAAACCGTCCCCTTCCTCCTGTCCTCTTCCCGCCGTCCGCGGTAACACCGGGCTCTCTGCAGGCGTGAAGGAGGTGGATTACCGCCTGTACCCCAGCAAGGACACCCAGCTGCAGTGGCTGCGCTCCTACCTGCAGGCCTACAAGCAGCTCACGCAGGGCGACCAAGGAGGCCGGGGAGCGGTGGTGTCGGAAAAGGAGCTGGAGGCTCTCTACGTGCAAGTGAACAAGTTTTCCTTAGTGAGTGCCCGAGGGTGGCACCTATGGGGAGCAGGTGGCCGTCCTTGCAGGGAACAGGGGACAAGGGCTTGTTGGGGGTCTGGGAATGCTGTGGTTCGCCGCCATGGGCATCGGTGTGGGGCTGGGTCCAGACATGCTGCTCCGAAGAGCCTGGCTTCATGTCAGGGCCACCAAGCCCCTGGAGAAGGTCAAAGATGGCTCTGGCCTCCAGCCACCCACCACTGTTTGCCAATGGACAGCGTGTCCCCGATGGCTGCAACCTTGGGCACACACGGCCAAAGACACCGTGTGCAGCCGGAAAATCCTCTCGGAAAAGCCAGGGGTCGGGCTGGGATCCAGGGCAGGGACGTGGCCGGGAGGGCGGCGAGTGGCTTTGCCGCGGGTGAGGGCACCTCGGGCCAGGTTCTGACCCGGGCTCTGTCTCTTGCAGGCGTCCCACTTCCTCTGGGCATGCTGGGGCCTCATCCAAGCTAAATACTCCACCATAGACTTTAACTTCCTAAGGTGAGTGAGCTCCATGCTTGGCAGGCCCTCCTTGGCCACAGCAGCCCCGAGCAGCAGCGTGTCCGTGTCCTTGCTCCCCAGCAGGGCAGTGGCCGGTGGCAGCAGCCATTCCGTTGCCATCTCGCGTTCCTTTGGACTAGGAGCTCCCGGAAAAGCAGCAGCTCCGCTCGGGTCCCTGGCATTTGCTCCCAGCGTGGTCTAGTGGCAAAGGGCTGGAGCGAATGGATCCCCACGGTGCCCTCGTGCTGCAGGGATGCTCTGTACGCGGGAGCAGGCGTCTCACGTCCCTCCCTTTCTCTCGGCAGATATGCAAAGCTCAGATTTAAACAGTACTTCAAGATGAAGCCGGTAGTCACAGCCCTGCAGCTTTCCAAATAGCATCTCCGGCCCGCGAGACCCTGAGCTATTTTGTCCTTGCTGCGTCCCAGCCCTCGCCTCCCTCTCGCCCTTCCCAGCCGGGGCCGAGGGCAGATCCCGATGGTGGGAAGGGGGAAGAGGATCTCTGCCCCAGCCACCGATTAAAGGAGACCCTGGACACACTGAGACTGGACCATGAGACGCTACAGAGGGCCACGGCCTCAGCGAGGCCCCGGCCTCCACCAGCAAGCCTTTACCATCGCCTTAACGCCGGGGCCAGCGGCGCT